TTGTTGCACAACACTGCAGACATTTTGGTTGCTTCAGGCGACCTCTCAAGTTGAACCATACGAGGCATTTTAGGTGGGGGTATAGCCCACAGCACATTTGTCAGTTGCTGTTGTTTCAACGTCGCATCTTTGGGAACGAAACAGCGGAGTTTTGGGCCCTACATAGTGTTAGTGGTATCTAAGTAGCAGGCTCAAGAAGCTACCTTATTCTGAGCCACAAGTGTGGGCGAACTCTCAAGATCCATGGCTCGCCACCAAAGATCTCGGCAATTCTCTACGGTCGGAGTGGAACCACCGCAAAACGATATCAACCTGACACCGAAATAGTCCTCCGCAAGATAAATAGTCGTGACTGTCGACATAGATTTGGGTACGTACATGAGCTGAGTGTGGCAATCATCGTTGTTGTTGCTTAGCGACGACAAGTACGAGCTGCCTTCGAAATCCGTGAAATGACCCCATATCTTGGATGATAGTTGGATCGAGGACTCTCCACTGGGCACAGCGCGAAGGGCTCTGGCGCATTCCACTGCGTAACTCCGAAGGCACAGACCAGCGATTAAAGAACATAGCTCGCGGGGCAGTCGCACTAAGACTTTGTCTAACAAGACAGACAGCTTGTGGTGAAGCCAACTTCTTCGGTCGTCTTTCTCGTGAGCCGTAGGCTCGTACTCGAATGCCAATACCTCAATGGCTTCCGTGACAGGCCAAGGGGTTATCTGATTGGCACATTCAACATGACAGCCTGTTGTTTTCCCGTCCAGGTGTGAGCAGTCTCCAACACAAGTGATATATCTCGACTTCTGTAAATCAACCATGATCCGCTCATACACCATCTCCTCGGAACTCTGGCCAGCCTTCACTATTGTCAAGTCAGAGAGGCAGTGGCTAGAGATTGAACCAGGCTCACCGATGATGATAAGCTCTCCGTCGTGAAGCCTAAACCTGCACAAACCACATCGTGGTGTGATGCAAAAAGTGCTCATAGCAGCAAGGACATGGAACCGTAGGAGGGGTGGTCGGGAATTGTAGTTCAAGTTCTTTTGCGGAAAAAACTCAGGTGTGCAGTCTCAAGGTTTATAATGCCACTGGGCATGTGCCATTGGGCATGTCTTAGATGACTCAGCATTTGACATTTGCATGCCTAGGCCCGGAAGATCATTGTTCAAGCCGCCGGGTGGTAAGTGCCTCAGGTAGGAAATCAGGCACTAAATCTCAATCGCGTTCTGCGAGCATGGGAACATTGTTAGATAATGTTAGATAAACGATGTTGATTTAATGCAATACCACTGAGGTCATCGATCAAAGAGTGATTGTTGTGCTTGATTGAGGGATTCCGTCCCATCCCGGTCCAAGCGGGGTTCTGTCTTGTATTTACCCATCATCACCGGTTCTTGCATATTATTCAACGAATTTCTAGCATCCCTTTATCCAGACACAGTCGTCAATCCAACAAACATAGCCATACCTGTGACTAATGCTTGTTCATCCCGAGCCTTTATTTAGAACCTTCGTCACCTCGCCGTGGGACACAATGTAGACGCAGAAAGGGAAATACGTATTGATTTGGTCTTGAGGGCCTAACTAATCTGCATACACAAGCCATATAGACGACACTGAGAGGAAGAATAGACACGATTAAAAGTCTCAATGTCTTTCCATGTTTCGTGGCTTGTAGCCCCAGTACTTTCTGTCGGCTTTCCAGGTCCACACTTCTCCATCCCGAGTGCGTTGCTTATCCCAGTCCTTAAGCTCGGTAATGTGAGATCTGCCTTTCTTATGCTTTTTGAAGATGAACTTATCGCTACTGAAAGTATGCGGTTCATAGACGATCTCAATCCGATGGGCATTGGAAGAAGTTGTGCGTCGACTCTGACTCGCCCCTTGGGCCTGAGAAGGACCGGCTCCAGCTTCTGGGTCCGTTTCTTCAGGCTCCGGCTCCGAAAGTTGTCCTTGCTCCGTGTCAACTAGCATTTCATCTTCTTCATAGCCCTGGAAGTTTGCGTCAGAGGTCTCGTTTGGCAGATCGTTTGCCGACTGATCCAGATCTTGTGCGAACTGGTTGAGCTGACTCTGTGCCAGCGGGTCCAGCTGGTCCTGGTCTGATACTGCCGTGGGTAGGATCGGCATACCGTTTTTGACTTGATCGTAGTAACTCTCTAGCAAATTTCCGTTGTCGGTATTCAGGTCGACGTATGCACTGCGTCCTTTGCGGGACCCAGATTGAGGGCCGTTGTCCAGAGGCAAGAGGCTTAAGTTGACTGGGTCTACCCACCAAAAGCGGAAGCACAAGGAACGCTCAATCCCGATAACTGTCTGTACGAAGAGGCCGAGAAGGCTATACTGCGCGATAGACGCCCGAGCATTCGCTAGTGCTTGGTCCTCAACCTCTCGTGATGAACCACCTCCTCCTTTGATCTCCACCAACAATCGCGGAATGAGCGATCCAGGTGAACTGTACAAAGGGCTGTAGTCGTAGATGAGCACATCAATTCGGAAGTTCCTGCGCGCTCCTGCGTCCGGAGGCTGCTCAAATGTTGGGCAGAAATTGTTTTCGATTCTAAAGCAAAGTATGACAAGGTTTTGTAACAGAGCAGCAGCTCCGTACTCGATGGGATCATGCCTCCATTTTTCGTAGAGCCCTGAAAGTGGTGGGTAGTGAAAGAAAATATTGCTCATGATGATGAATGATGTTGTTGATGTCTGTGTAGAAAGCATCGAGAGCAGAATGGTGAGGCCCCGAGTCTTTATACCTAAATCTCAGGTGCGCAAATTGACTACGCCGCTCTACCAAGCGGCGGTGGGAAAGAGAGGACACACAAGTACAATCGCTACCAACACAATAACGGTGTCGCCGGGGTTCGCACGTCTTCGTTGGATGTAAGCGTGCGGTATGCATTTTCTCATTTTCTCATTTTCTCATTTTCTCATTTTCTCATTTTCTCATTTTCTCATTTTCTCATTTTCTCATTTTCTCATTTTCTCATTTTCTCATTTTCTCATTTTCTCATTTTCTCATTTTCTCATTTTCTCATTTTCTCATTCATCAGGCAACAGGGCACAGCTTGTCAGGCACCAATCTCCCCATCCCTTTGTGTCGCCACGGAATACACTTGCTTTGGGGGAACTCCCTTCCTACTCGTTTTTCTCTTCCACTTTGGCGATACTTTTCAGAATTTTCATGTCCAACCTCCACCAAGAAACAATCACGACGGTCGCATTCTAGTCAGCAACTCTCCATGGAACAATCGCAATTAGGCAGAGTTATAGACATCGGTAAAGCTGTTTCTGAAAAAGTAGGACAAACGTTTATCCTGATGTTCTAAAAACCAGAAGAGCGGTGCTAAATTTCAGACAGCTGAAGGTGAATGAAGTCGAATCAGAGCAGCATACGGTCCGGGATCTTGGCAGGACAGTCCCCGCACAGGGGTCTCGGGCACCTATTGCGATCGTTGTTGACATGACGGATCCAAAAGGACATATACGTGTTCTCGACAGTGCATTGGACCAAGTTGGTGTGGTTCAGGGCGGGGAGAACAGGGGTCAAATGGTGATGGTGACTTGGAGAGAAGGATGGGAGTACATGTTCTTTGGTGAGGGAAGCTGCAAAATCTACCATATCTATGCTAAGGACATGACCTGATCCGATTCCGTCAAGTACTTGATCACTTCTCTCGGACTGCATCTGAATGTGATGAACGGCCACTGTTCACTGTCAGGGACCGTAAGTGACTGTTGCAGGTCCGATTGCTTGGTTAGTGCTAGGAGTCGGAAAGTAGTTTCCACCGATATGTTGTAGACCTTCCCTTTCAGTGGCGCTATCCAATATCAGCAGGTGTACCAGCCGGCCGGAAAGTGGGGTTCAACAAACCGTTGCTTACTGGCGGACCGGTGCTGGGCTCAGTGGTACCGGTCTCACTCGACACTTCTTCTCTCGGTGATGTTACGCGCCTGATCTTCTGCGCGGCTCCCTGGCTATGCACAGCCGTGTCGCTCATCCTGCGCTTAGTTCGGCCCTGCACTTGGCCGGAGATGGCTATCGTGACATTAGAACTGATCCGGCCACCTGAGAGTTTACCTACCATTCGTCCCAATTTTTGCCTCGAGTTCAGTCTTGTAGCTTTTGATATCAACCTCGAAATTGAGGGCAACAGCCTGCAATGGCCCCGTGATTTTGTCCTTCATCTCGTCGATGAAAGAGCTGAGTTGCCCGATTTCGTATAGAGTGGTCGGTGCGAATGTAAAAGCACATAGCAAAGACATACGGAATCCCAGGTCCTCATGAACCTTGGTCAGGAACACGCATGCGCCCTTACGCTTTGACCGTGTCGATGATGTGTCGTCGGACTCGCGACCGTCCTTAGGAAACAGTCCAATCGAGGAGCGAAATTTCCCGACGTGCTTGGGGCTAGGCGAATTGTGGGTGCGAAAGTGGTTGATGACTTTTCGCAAGGATTCGATATATTTTTCCATGTCTCCTTGTACCACAAACGCCGGAGACGGGCGGAGAGGAAAAGCATACAAAAAGAGCTGGAAAGTAGGAAAACAGGAAGGCAGGAAAACAGGAAAACGGGAAAGCAGGAAAATGGGAAACTGGGAAAATGGGAAAGGAGGCGAGGAGAAAGTAGGTAACTGGAAGAGCATATGAAAAGTGGTTATCGGCTATCCTCGGTTATTCTAGGCGCTGTTCTGGGAACACCCGTCGGCCTACGATGGGGTGACTCATCATAGTTCCAGCTGCAGCGCTTCCAGATGAGTTTGATTGGTCTCAGGCTCTCACGTTCGCATATCGATAGAACCGACATGGCGAAACGTAGATCCGAGACACTTGTAGTCAAATCACCGGCTGGCTCCGTAATGAATCAAGATTTCCCCAAAAAAACCAACAACAGCGAGAACGAAATTTTTGAAATCGGAGTAAAAATAGCGCCACAACACACTCCGAAAGGTCAATTGGATAGCCGTGTGCTCGTCGCGAAGCCCATCACGACGTAGGCACCATGGCAACCCCATGGCCCCAGGAGCAAACATGGCCAACGCACCATCGAGAGCACGCCACTCAACTTAGCAGACACCTTCAGACAGCACTCAAATCAATCGACACCGCAAACGAATACCCCCTTGACCCGAAAGCCGTGAAAGCCACTCTCATTGCTACCATCTCCCTACTGGCTAAAATGCAAAAATTGCCCGAGCTCGGACACCTCCACCAAGCTATTGAGAGTCTACGTGCGGAAAACAAGACGACCAACGAGAGCAACATCCGCGAATCGAGAACCATCAGGATTGCTATGCAGCAGAATACGGCCGAACTGAAGGAAAACACCAACACAACGCGCGCAGCCAGCGCGGCTGCCAAGGAGGCTTGGAAAGCCAGCGAGCTGGCGGTCAAGGTCGTGAAGGATATCAAAGCACTAGAGCCGATGAATCAGGGGAACACCGTGCAGTCATATGCCAGCGTAGCCGCCCGAGGAGGACTTGCAGGGAGCATGCATAACCCCTGTAACCAGAGAGCGTCCCAGACCCAGATTCTGCGTGAAATCATTGTGAACATTAGAGACCCTATCACCATTGCCAGCATAAGAGCCATGAACCCCCGTAGCCTCAAGGCGCACGTAGACCGCGCAATCGAACAAAGCAGCAACGAGCATATCCGCAAGCTCAAGACCGTGTCCGCCAATCAACTCAAGAGCGGCGACCTGAGCGTCAAGACAGCAACGACGAAAGACATGGAGGCCCTCCGGCAGTTTGCCGAGGACTGGGAAAACCACATCGGCAACGGAGCCGCCGTGAGGATCCCAACCTACGGAGTGCTGGCGCACGGCATCAGAACCAGCTCCATGAACATGGACCGCTTTACAGAAATCAGAGACGACCTGCTGCAGGACAACAAAGCATTCATCCCCAGAGCAGACATTAAGTACGTAGGCTGGCTGACCCAATCGGCCAGCAAAAAGACGGCATCATCAGTGGTCGTGGAGCTCTCAAGGGCAGAAGACGCCAACAAACTCATTGACGAGGGACTCATCTGGCAAGGCCAGGTGTTTCAATGCGAACGATACGATAGCCAGTGCCGTCTGAGGCAGTGGTTCAAGTGCTGCGCATACGGCCACATAGGAACCCAATGCAAGGCAACGACAACATGCGGCTACTGTGCGCAAGAACACGCGACCCGAGATTGCCCCTCGAAAAGCGACACGACGACCCCAAGGAAATGCACCGCATGCTACGGCGAACACGAAGCATGGCACG